GCACTCAGTTGACTTCATTTTGGCTATCAATTTTTGGAAGTGGTTAATCGCCGTTAATGCAGTGACAATGCTGTCTTGGAGTGTCATTAACCACTAATATGTTGCCCCAATGGCTATGACCCCTGAATCAAATTTGTAGAGCATCAAAAGAAGAAGAATTTTGCTTCAAGGCCCATAGCCCAGTTCGGAGCAGAGCTGGCCCAAAAACAGACTCCAAGGCGAGTACAGTGACGCTCACCACGTGTTCGGCGAAAGGGCGCCATGGCAGCCATGCAGCAGAGTGCGCGCTTCATTGCCGCCGCGCGTCCGAGCTCCGCGCCACGTGCCGCCCTACTCCCTGCGCCTCCAAAAGCGGATGCCCGAGCTGCCCTGGCATCCCGCACTCGCTTCCTCTGGCCTCCCTCGCTCTCCCAGCGCGCTCGCTCGCCCTGCTGCCGCGCGGCTGCTCGCCATGGCCATGGCCGCCATTGCCAAGCGACAGAGCTCCTCCCAACCACCGCCTTGCCCCTCTGCTGCACCATGCCTTGCTGCCACTCCACCCGCCGCTCCCTTCTCCTTTCCCACCTCACGTAGAGCCACCTGGCCGCCGGTGTCGCCTGCTCTGTTCACCGCCGCCGCCGAGCTTGCAGCGCCGCTATGCCCCCTCGCCTTTGTGCTCCACCGCTCCCCGCTGACAGTGGCACATCCTTGCACCGCTCACGCCGCGCCTCTAGAACTCCTTGACCGGCGCCATTGGTCGCTGTTGCTCCCCGCCGTCGGAGCAGCTGCCGTCGCCGCCGCGGCTACTGTGGCTGTGCCACCACAGGCCGCGTTGGCCCAAGCTGGGCAGCCCAACGTGTGCGCGTGGGACCCGTGGTCCTCCCCGCCACTCCACCGCCGCCGTCGACGACCACAGCCGGCTGGAGCCGCGAGCCGGCCGCTCCTCTGCTCCACCGTCGGGAGGAAGGAGAAGGTGGACCACGCGCAGAAATAGAAGTTTCTCTAGGGGGTTAAGTGAATAGACAGTGACTCTTGTGAATAGTGCCAGAAAGGATTCATTTGTTTGTATTTAATATATGTTTTCTACAGGGACCCCAGTGCAAGACTTAGATTCCTTTTCTTTTGATTTTGGCAGATTTGAATCCTCCATTTTGAAAATTCGTAGTAATTTGTAGAAAAATCGTAAAATAGTAAATAAGGACTTTTTGGAATCCTTGTGAAATTATCTATGTACTAGATCTATAATAGGGCATGTTTTAGTTTAAATATTTTGCTGTAAAAATAGATCTATGCAGCTAGGTTTCTGTTACTTGCCATGTCTTGTCTTTTTCATAACTGCAGTTTTTATGCTCAAATAAATGTAAAATTTTTGTGGAGTGCTACTAAGGTGATTTTTGTTGTCTGGTAAAAATTTCAGGAGTTTAGGATTTATAGTTTAAGAGTTATAAAAATAACAAATGCCCTGTATTGCTTTGCTTCTACTCTGAACAGTTCTGCATGTTTGAATTAATTGGCTCAGTTAAGTTATGAATCATGACTTGGTGAAAATACATGAGTTGTGGTACTTTTCTTAAGCTTTTCAAAAAGCTAAATATCATGATTTTTGGCTAAGTAGATCTTGAGTTATACTTGCTTAAATCTCTGTGGCTGTTTCTGCCCAAAACCAGAGAGGGTTTTTCTTGTTCTTATTGTGGGGCCTTCTTAGTAGTAGAATTAGCTTTAGTTGTTTACAACAAAGTTGTTTATAATTTGCTAAGATTTCTAAAAAGTCTAGAACCACATTTATTGGACATGTATAACTCCATTTATAGCTGTTTAAAGTGGCATGTCAGTTTCTGTCTATGTTTTGGATAGAGATGCAATTATTGTATTAGTTGACCCTTCTAACTGTAAAATCATCTTAATATGAGAATAACAAAGTTGTAGATAATTCATGTATCTAGCTTCTGTTAAAATTTGGTGGTATTTGGCCTTGTGGTTTGTGAGTTATGCCTGTTTAAAGTTAGGTTTCAGAAATAGCTGCTTTCTGTCAATTGTGGACCAGTTTCTAGAAATGGGTATAATTGACTTAGTTAACTTAAGAATAATGCTAAGAGGATTAAAGATGAATTGTAGAAAATTCCATAAGCTTTCCAGATTGTCTTGTTGCATGTCTTTTGGATTAGTACAACTCCTGTTATGAGTAAAATTAGCTGCTGTTGTTTGCAGCCTTGACTCTATGATTGTCGTGAATAACTGGTTTGTCTTGAATGCTTATGTGATGCATCTTGTGTTACCATTCATCATATTCATACACATGCATCTTGCATCTCATCTAGGTGCGCTAGATGAACCACGTGAGGGACATGATGTTGGAGCCGAACGAACCCGAAGACGATGTATGGAGGATCCATCCCGAAGATGGAAGGACTAAGCGAGTGCTAGGACCTGAGATGTCACCAGGACGGTGCAAGCTAACTGAACTGACTTGTGTCGGATCCTAGGCAAGCCCCGGAGCATTATAAGTCTCCTAAATTATAAAAGCAGTTCTTTCTATATATATGAGTTTATATATTGTTGCATTAAGTTATAGGAGTTGATTAAAACCGTTGATGCATTTATTACTATCCTTGCCTACCTTATTACCTTTTACCCTGTTAGGTCAGGATCGAATAACTGCTTAGCCTTGCTTAGACCGGTAGCGATCGGTGATATCCGGTCACCTATATTATAGGTGGTTACTGGAAGAATTTAGCTATGAAAAGAATGATATCCTGGAAGTAACCATGTGTGATGGATAATTGGAGACCAGACGGAAAAGTTGGAGGCAACCAGACAGGGTTCTAGGGTGCTGTTAGTTTCCATCTGTGTCAATTAAGGACCGACCATTGTTGGGCCTCGAGTCATGTTGAACGCATGCCTTACATTTAGCTGGCCGAATAAAGCACCTTTCGACCGTGAAGCTGGGAGATTATTCGGGCCGAGTAGATTTACCCGCAGCACACTGTATCGGAGCAGGTGTAGTAGGACACGGGGGCGCGAAGATAAGACCAAAGAGCAGTCGGTCGGCCCCTGGGTACATATGGTTCCTAGCAAACTCGAGATTCCTGAATAGTTGACTCGGTGACCGATACCTCACTTTAGCGGGTGAGTGAGGTTTGTGTAAGGAATAAATCACCAGCTGGTTAGGAATCGATTCAAATCGCCATCGCTCCTGGATAGTGAGCACTTGACTCGAGTTATGGCATCGTAGTAATTATTATGGAACAATGATGGTTATCTGGATGATATGGGATATGCTAAATCTAAGTTGGTAACTGGATGTTATTGGTTAATCAAGTGATTGCTATAGTACAGGTGCTTACCTAGATGGATATGTCATAATAAAGATGATGCAAAGTACTTAAAATGGTTTCTTCATGATAGCTTATGTTTTTCGCAAACGAGTCAGCTAGCCCACTAAAAAAAGCCTTGCATAATCCTTGGTGTCGCTTTATTTTGGTTTAAGACGGGTAAGTCTGGCTGAGTACATTCGAGTACTCAGGGTTTATCCCACCTTATTGCAGGTGAAGTTCTCGACTTATTGATGATGGTGGCTAACCGCCGGTGGGCTCGGTGATTCTATATTTACTTCTCATTTATATGCTTTTGTCTGAGGATGTCACTTATGCTAGCAATGTATTTGGAACTTATAATAATGTAATCATTTGAAAGCTACGTTGTTTTCAATAAATGGTTTTGAAGCCCAAACTTGTACTATTATTTGTGAACCCATTTGTAATATTATTTCCGTTGCAACCCTGTGTATGTGATGTGTATTTGCTTAATCACGCGATCTTGGTTGTGATGTTGATTTACCGAGGTCTTTCAGGACACTCGGTAGACTACCGGGTTTATATGAGTGAAAGTATGGGTGTGTCAACGTGTTAGCGGGGACAACCGTACTTGATCTTGTATAAATTGGACGGTTCTGTCACACTCACCGTCGTCGAAGCTGGTGCCGCGGAGGAGATGCCGGTGCCAGAGCTGCCGCCGTACCAGGTGCGGGACCTGATGTACATGGGCAAAGGTGGCCATGGCCTAACGCGGGAGCTGCTGGCACGCGCCATGGTGGCCGAGGAAGCCTCGTGGGGGCTCATCCTCAACACGTTCAATGCGCTCTAGCGCGGCGAGCTGGCGGGCATCCGACGAAGCCTCGCCACGGTGCCAGTGTTCGACGTCGGCTTGCTCCACAAGCTCTCACTAGCCGACGACGGCGGCGGCGGCTTCTTCTTGGCGGCGGGGCCGGGCATGCTCAGGTGGCTGAATCTTGCGCGCCCACGAGACTCCATGTTTCTCGTGAGCTTCAAAGCACTTAGCTGCGCATGACCCCGCAGGACCTAGTGGAGACGGCGTGGGGCATCGTCGGTATCTTGCCTTCCTCTAGCCGTCCGTACGGGCCTCATCCGCGGCGCGTGCGAGCCGGACCAGCAGCAGCTTCCCCGGGGTTCGAGGCCCTGCACGCGTTGGTGCGGCATGGTGGTGGCGTCGCGGGCGCTGCAGAGAAAGGTGCGACACCTTTCGCTTCACGGCATCATGGACCCCATCGGCGAGTTCACCGCCGCGAGCTGGCCCTGGAGCTCCTGCCGTCACGGATGAAGCTGCTGGCGAGCGCGACCGGGATGAGGAAGCATAGCAGTAGTAGGTAACCGTTGCTGGCTACGTGGCTCGCCGATGCGGCACATGGGTGCGCTCGACAGCGGCACAGCGCGTGGAGACAAGCACGGCTCCAAGACTCCGCGCTCGCCGCCCTTCCCGGATGATCGGAGCATCACCATTGCCGAGCTCCGCCACAGAGACGCAACGCCCTCAGACCCAAGGGCATTTGAGACCTTTTCAAGTCAATTTAACACCGTTAGACAAGAAAAAGTTAGATAAAATAGCTTGCAAGAAAAAAAAATTGAGATCTCAATTTTTTAATGGCTCGTTCGTAATTACATATGGCCACATGTAAAAGCCTCTTCATCCTTCCCTTCCTCCGAGCTCGTCGCCGGTCACTTTGGATGGCCGCACCACCGGAGGGGAACGTCCGCTTCGGCGAGGGGAGGGCCGACGTGCTGGAGCCGCAGCCGCTGGAGGTCATAGCGCCGAAGGTCAAGGCCAAGAAGCGCAACCCGGCGCCCGGAGTCCGGGTTGTTGGTCGCCGGATCTACGATCCAGAGAATGGCAAGACCTGCCACCAGGTGAACTAATCTGCCCGTCCTTCCTGTTCCCCTGCTTCTGATTTACGAGGTACTTAGATTTGTCTCGTTTTGCTCCTCTGTTCTCTGCAGTGCCGCCAGAAGACAACGGACTTCGCAGCGGCGTGCAAGCAAGTCAAGAAGAAGGGTCCGTGCCCAATCAAGTACTGCCGCAAGTGCCTCCTTAACAGGTAAATAGCCATCCTCAATTTCTTCCCAGCAGGTGCAATTTCTTTCTCAGTGGTCTGGTTTCCTTAGGTACGGCGAGAGTGCCGAGGAGGCGGCCAGCAAGGAGGACTGGATCTGCCCTAAGTGCAGGGGCATCTGTAACTGCAGCTTCTGTAGGTGAGCCGTGCATAGATGATTTGGGGGTGCTGGTGCTCATTTTTTTTTGGGATAAAAGGCAAAACTTTATTAGCAGCAAAGTGCTGCAATTCTGGTGATAGAGGGTGCTCAGTTCAGTTGTCATGGTGGGGAATCTAGATCTTATTATTTGTCTTGTGGGTGTTTGACCAGAAAGAAGAAAGGCGAGATGCCAACTGGGATAATGGCCCACATCGCCAAGGCTTCTGGGTGCACCTCTGTCCATGATCTCCTTGAAAAGGGGTCAGATGTGGTGGCTGCTGCGCAAGCGATACTCAAGGTGAATGGTAGTGACAAGGTATTGCTGTTTTACTCTCCAATTCTATGTTGTGCCTTGCAATAATACTTTCTTGTTGATATGCTTTACTGACACACTGTTACAAACATGCAGCAGGGCACAAAGAGATCCCAAGGGACAGATGCTGCTGATGAGGTGGCCACTGAAAAGGATGTAAATATAGGCATTGATCACAATACAGTTCCAGGAGATGAAGGGGATGAAAATATAGGTGTTGATCTCAATTCACTTCCTTCTGTTCATATCAAGAAAGGGCAGAAGCTCAAGCACAGGGCAAAGAAGGATCCTGCTGATGAAACGTCACATGGTGGAGTCAATAGTGAACCATTGCAGATGGATGAGAACCCTGATTCGCTCAATAGTAACACTGTGCTACCCAGGGGTACCCCAGTCACAAACATTGCAGGTGCACAACTTGACGATGAGGATGTTGGGGCTGCAATTCAGTTTCTAGAATTCTGCCGTGCATTTACAGAGGTAGTCAAAGGCAAGAAAGAATGAGCTTAATTTTATAAATATAATGGTGCATGCCTTGTTTTGTTAACACTTGGATTCTGTGTTCGGATATCTGAGAATCTGACTTTTGCCATGATTTTTCACCTTATGAACTCTAGCTGCTTAAGTAAGTTTGGGTTTTGATGCCAAGTGGAATCATAATTAAAATTAGAGTTTGCTAAAAGTTTGGAATCCCAGCCAGGCAAGGAGAGGTACTTGTGGGTGTTGGACTGAGGCATCTAGAACCTGTTTGTGGGGATGCAAACCATCAAGGGAAAGGGATGTTCGGGTTGGCGTGTGATTATGGAGCCTGTGGGTGGTGAGGCAAGATGTGAGAGAAATATGAGCTTTTCTTGAACTTACTGCTGGCTGATCTTGAGGAAATAGGGGTAGACGCACTGATAGCGCAGTGGTTGAGCACCTGAGTTGTGGAGCTCCCCACCAGGGTTCGATCCCTGGTGCTGCATGGTTGTGTGCCCACCTCTCTGGTTGAAACAGTGCAGATGGTTCTGTGGCCACCAAAGAAGCATGCACTTGTGAGGTTCCTGCCTGTTCCGGGTTCGGTGGGCCCCTTCTTGAAGACTAAAGTCAACAGGACATCTCTCGCCTTGAGCAAGTCTTTTTTTTAAGGAAATAGGGAGGTCCTGCAGCTGGTCTAGCAACCGGCCATCTTGTTTTGTTGCTTGGAAACCTTGATTACATGACTCTGAATTTAGTTTTGAGTAGCTCACGCATAGCTTGTTGAAGCGCAGTTGTTACTTAAGGTGACCGTGCTTATTAGGCTTAAGTTGTGTCCAGAAGTGAGCAGCTCTATTGATACTTTACATGGCCATCATTGTTAAGTCTATATTAGAAGCTTAGCCCATGAAACATCAAACAGAGTGCAGATGGGTATTCTAGGTTTAATGGGCACTCTCCCCAAGGGAGTGTGCCTCCAGCCACTTGCCCAACCTGGATGGAACTTGCGCATATCTTGTAAGTTCTTGAAAGTGCCAATAATTTACTGTGTATGTTGTCTGAACTTTTTTGTCTGATGCAGATCTTTTTGGTGTTTAAGTTCGCTAATTAAGGAACATAATTACCATCAGAGCATCACCAGTGTTTGAGTCAATTCATGGCCATATTAATTTGCATTGGCTTACCATCAGATAAGTAGGACCACAAAAAGGAAATAAAAAAATGCAAAAATACCCAGTATCACAAAAAGCATTTTCAAAAAGGCAAAGGCAAACAACATCTTGATTCCTTCCTAGGACCGTGCCTTTCGTTTCTTATACCTCATGAATCGTGCAGAGGAGTTGACCCTTCTCTCTCCTGTGTTTTATTTGACTACTCCAGTGGTCATGATTTAGTTCAAAGGTTCCAGATTGGCCCATGCACATTCGAGATGGCATAATCTATAATTCTGTCTTGTTTGTATTGTGTGCTCATTTGGAGATTGAGGGTGCACATAATTTAACGATACTGATACTTAACTCTCCTGCTTGTTTTAGAAAATAGTGCAAATTTAGTATTTTAGTTTGAAAACAGGCATATGTTGGTGTTTTGAAGTCTACCATACATGTGTCTGTAGTTCTGCATGTTGTGTCATTGTTCAAGTTTCAAGTCACTGTAGATATAGTTATTCACAAAGATGGAATTTTCTTAAAGACATGCCATATCTTTTAATTTTCTTAAAGACATACCAATCTTTTAATTTATTTGAAAATTGATAAACATTTATAAAAACGATGAAAGTGCACTAGGACAAGGCATATATAGTGCACAACAAATGTAGAAAGCGCCATGTAATGTCAAGTGCATAATAATGGAATCTGTTTTTGATGCTGTGCTACAGTATTATTTTATTTATTTTGATCTTTGACACATAATTATTCACCTTATGGATAACACAGACCCGGTGAATGAATTTTCTAAGAGAAACAGGTACAGTGCAAAGTTGCGGCTTCAACATACTTGCCTATATGTTTAATATGTCTGCAGCATAAATGGTTAATGAAAAAAAAGATATGATTCTTTTTTTATAAGACATTCATCAGTAGTCGATGAAGCTGATGGACGGAAGTTATGCTTGTTCATTCTTCTTTTTGTTTATGTTGATAGTTTGACGGCACATTTTTCTTTACATTGCGTTATAACTTGTTGATCCAGATGAAAGAATCTGAGCTAAAAGAAGGCTAGAATTTTGTCATATGAGGCTTAAAATATATCTTGCACTGATGAGTTGTTACATATCACTGTCGATTTAGCTGGCTACTCTACCTCTCCAATTGTGTCCAAACACTATAACAACCATTTTATGGCGAGCTAGTGACTATGAACCCTTGTCTATTATAGCAGTAGTATACTGCAATCTCTAGAACAAGAATAGTAGTGAAAATATTTTGTTAGCTGCGACCTGTTACAACATGAAAAGTTGTTCACTAACAAGAAGAACAGTGACTTTCTTTTTTCTTTGAAAGTTGATGTTATGAAAGTGCTCATCGCAAGTAATGCAAGCACAATACATTATTAGTTGCCTAGTTGGTATATCAAGGCATTTTCACAAAGGTGTTAATTATTTTCTGCATATAGGCAATATGCAGAAATCAAACATTTATTGTCATGGTGGAATGGAATCATCGCTAAATGAACAGATACATCATACTAAAAGTGTTATAAGGATCAAAATGATTTTTTGTGAGCCTGGATCCCTAGTATACAAGTTGTAGTATCTGAACTCTACTCAACGAACACACCACACACGCACACCCCTAGAACTACAACCTATACACATCTCGCGTCCTTCTAGAGATCACCGAAGCTGCACGGACCTTGTAGACGGGCACGTTGTAGTCCCATTGTGGCGCCACGCGAATATCCAGGACCTACAGGAAACAAATCCGGGAAAAATCCCGAGGTGCGACACCTGAGTCGTCCCAGCCGGGAATCGAACTCGGGTGGGTGGCGCTCCCACCGAGCGGCTTCACCACCGAGCCACTGGCTCGTCCGCAGGTTCAAAATGAATTAGGATTCTTTGTAGTCTTCATAAATTGTTTATTCTTTCCACTTAACATTTCAATTTCCCTAGCATGAACACTTACTTTCATGACACATTAAATTATGTAATAACATCGAACATGTTCTTTGACACAGATTTTTCAAATAAAGAAAGGGCAACCAGAAAGAATTCTTCAAGATTTAGTTGGAGGCCGTGAACTTCGGTTGGTATCCTCAGTTGTTGCTGGGTTTCACATAAATTTGTTATCTGTCATTCGAGAAGGAAGGGGGAAGAAGTAAGTACAATCCAAGTTGATAGCTCCTTGCAAATTTGTTTTAATGTAGTTATTAAAAATAAAAATGTTGTTTTGTCTCCAGGCCTCTGGCTTATACAAGAGATGGAGATGCATGGGTAATTGATGTTGGCAAATATATAAGTGAATCAGCATTTATATCAAAAGGATTTCCTCTCAACTATATCAATCAGGGGATATCAGGATATAAAAACTTGAGCCCTTCTTGTAAGCTGCGTGTTCTGAATTTTCTTTGTGATGAGACCCTCTCTACTGAGTGAGTAGTGTCTATTACATTTAGTATAAATTAATATACTTCTGCCACTCTCTTTGTTCGTATTTTTTTGTTTTAACCCTCTATTGAGTAAGTAGTACTTACTACATTTACTAAAATTAATTCACTTCACTGCCACTTTCTTTGTTTTATTTTTATTTTAGAAGGGAAAAATGTTTTTCATTATTCTTTTTTAGAACATAAAAAGTTTATATGACTGTCTGTTATACGTTCGCAGGAAATAAATTAAATTAATGTGGTAGCACAAGTCTATAAGATCACATATAAAATAATGGTGGAAATATATTATTATTCTATATTAATGATTTATTTACTCTGTTTAGCAAGCTGAGGAACTGGATTGACATGCAAAATGACATAGCTGCTGAACCAATGAATGCTGCTAGAGAAAAAGCTCGTGCTGCAAAAGAAATGGTATTCATCTTAGTGAGCCTTCTCTTTCTAGGATCATGACCATAAAGCATTCTACAATACCCATGTTTTGTTTCTTAGGAAAAGGAGCTAAAGGAAGGGCTAAAGGACAACATGGATAAAACAATGCTTTCACCAAATGAAGCAGCAGCCTTTAGCAGTGAAGAAAATAAGTATCTTATTTCCCAAATAAAGGTGGCACAGGAAGTCAAGCGTGCAGCCATAAATGGTCTGAACAATATGATTGGATATATCTAGAACTTTCCACTTTAAATTTGTTAGCTTTATGCAATTTTCTCAGTTTTCTATTTGTTTGATTAGTTGCAACTTTTATTTTATGTGTTTTCACACCACACTTTTTTTTTCTCGAACACGACGGAGAGCTGTGTATCATTGCATTAAAAGAAGGGAGTTACAACACAACCAAACACCGTGAAAAAAGATATTTACATTCGAGCTAGTTGTTTAGTATGAATGTTCATCTTTTGCTTCCCAGATATGGCAACTATGGAGAAGCAAGGAGGTCTTTGGACCAAGCCTCTGATGGTAGAGAAAGGAGTAGCATATTGGAAGCTAGATGGGTACTGTGATAACTCAGCAATATTGCTTCAAGGTTTGTTTGAAGTTCTTATACAATAAGGTTTAATTTACTCTTCTAGCCTCTGGAATGCTACATTACTGATTTGTATATCATGTTTATGCCAGAGTATGGTGATGATGAATTAATGGCAAATAAAGACAAGTGGTTTATGTTTATTGAAGACGAAGAGAAAGTAATTGAAGAACATGTAGCCACAAGGTAAGGAGTTTGTCTTGCCACATTTTGACGCATTTCTATCTTTCCAATGATGGTGAACTTCTCTTTTGTTGCTTGTATATCATGAAAGTTATTTGATAGAAACCCTATCTGTATTTTCTTCTGCTGTCGATCCTCCAATTACTGCTATCAAAGCTCATTTTATGTGGTGTTTTCATGATTAGACAGTCTGAAAGTAGCTTAGTAGCATCCTAACAAATGTGGCACACGATTCATTCCAGTATACCTGAACTATTGTGATCAATAAAGTTGAACATGTAACTAATGATTAGAGTATTCTGGCAATCATTCCTTATACAAATACCTTGCTTCCAGGAAAACAAGTTCTTGGAGCTCTGTTGAAAAGAATTTTATTTTTTCTGGACTTTAGGTTGACAGAATAATCACTCCTTTTTGCAATACATTGAACTTGATATCTTGACCTGTTTGGATAACTTCTGGGTTAAGAGCTAGTGCTTCAGGCTGGGCTTGATTGTCATTGTTGTGCTGCGATAAGTACTTGTTATTTTAGGTTTACACTTACCGCTAGAGCTGATTATCCGTATTACAGTTATCTCCACAGTGCATGTGCTATGTGTGTTTTGGAAATGAAGAGGGCATAGTAAAACAGTATGGGATTCAGAGTGATGGGACTGTGAGCTGAGTCCTGAATAATTGGAAGGTGGCATCCTTCATTCCAAATATATTACAATACTCCCTATTTATAGGGCTCCCTGATAAATAATATAAAGTATTGAACCCAATCTTAAGCAGGGTAATCTTTTTTTTTGAACCAGGAAAACAGCAGGGGAGGCCCCCACTGTTAGAAAGCAGTGTAATCTTATCCCTACGTTTGAAAATAAATGTAATGTTACCCCTGGCAACCATATATTTCCTAACTTAAAAAGCTAATTGTTTATTAAGAGAACTTGAAGCATGTCATTAGATAAGAAATTCTGTTATCATCTCACAGGATGAAGTAATGCACACACTATTCTACTCCCTCAATTCCAAATTATAAGACGTTTTGGCTTTTCTAGATACATAGATTTGATGCCTGGACTAGGAAGGATGACTCTCGACCCCAACTCTCCCTCCCCCACCGTCCCACCTTCTTCTTCGGGCGCGTCTTATGCGGCAACTTCGGCTCCGGGTGAAGGAGGGCCTGTCCTGGCGGGCATGGATGCTCCATCGACGGGGCTTGTGGTGGCTGCTGCATCCCCACTGGAGTCTTCCTGGGCTTCTAGGATTACGCTCCACTGGCGGGACGTTCCTTGGCGGAGGGGCGCATCCTTCTCAACTAGCGTGGTGCGTCCTGTTCAGGGGGGGGGGGTGGCAGAAGGCTGAGTCTCGCGGTACTCGGCGTCGGCGTCGGCGCGTGACCTGTCCTCCGCGCCGTCCAGTCCCGGCGGACCTCGTTGGCAAATGTTTCGACTGTTTCTCGCCATCACACATAGCTGTTGTCTGTCGCCTGAGGACTCGCTGTTTCCGCTGCCGGTCTCTAGGCATCGCTGTTTCGAGTGCCCTGGGGTGTTCAGCGGCGGGAGCACTAATCCCTGTGTCTCCGTGTGGCAACGGATTTCGCCGGCCCACGGGGCTACCGGTGTTGCCACCCCGCAACGGCCTTCGCCGGTGGGTGTTGCTGGTGCGACACAGACGCAGAACGTGTATCGTCAACCTGCTACTAGCCGTGTCTCCGTGTGGCGACGGATTTCCCCGGCCCACGAATCTGCTAGTGCTGCATCTCAGCAACGGCCTTCTCCGGCGGAGTTGGTTGGTGGCGCTGAGCCCTTTGGAGGTGCATGCTCAGGATCATGGTGTGCGGGCGCAGCAGTCGCGTCGTCGATGATGTCCACGATTCCGGCAGCGTCCCGTGCAGGATCAGCCTGACTCCTCTCTGGCTGCTGGTCCGGTGCCGGGTGCTGCCTCCTTGGACACGTCTGCTGATGCTTTGAGGCCTCCCCCAAGCATCATTGACTAGAGCGATTAGGTGGCTAGAGCTGAAGAAGACCTTGCAAGAGCGGTAACGGTGAATGTGATCAGCGATGATCCGCTGGCCGCAGTGGAGGTGGCAGCGGTGATTGCGGCCAGAATTGATGTTGACGCCAATTCACTAGTACTTCGTAAGGCTTCGCCCTCAAGTTACCTGCTGGTCCTCCCCGAACTGGCCTTGGTTGATCGTCTGGTTGAGTTGAGGCAGCCAGTCAGTTCGTCTGGATTCAACTTCAGCCTCCTGTGTAAGCGTTGGAGCCGTCTGACTGGTGCCCAGGGTCGTGTCTTGCCGTTCCTGATCGACGTTGAGCTTCGTGGCATTCCAAACCACGTTTGGGAAACCTCTACTGTGGATCGTCTCTTGAGTCCACACGCGTGGGTCCAGCAGGTGCATCCTGATACTCTTGGACTCGTAGATCTTTCATGTTTCCGATGCTTGGCCTGGAGTACAGACCTGTCTGTACTCCCCTGTTCTAGGGAGCTCTGCCGTCGTTAAAGATCCTCCTGTCAAAAGGGTTTTGGCCTACCCTATTGAGCTGCAGTATTCTGATGTTCACCGCCCTGAGGTTTTGGCGCCAGGCCCTCCTCCCTCTGATGGAGGGGATGATGATGATAATGACCCTGCAAGGCGTCGGCGTCGCGTCTGTTCTCCCTCGCCGCCGCCCAGCTCGGGTCCGGCGGGTCGTGATGCTTCGTGACATGGCGGTTCACGGCGGGGATCTATCATGAAGCAGGTGGAATCCTCACGTGGCCCACTCAGACAGCGTGCTCTCAGCCATTGGCCGCGGGTTCCAAAGAGGTCCAGGTGCGAGACATTCCAGGTGACGGTCGTTCTGCGCTAAATGCTGAGACGCGTAGTCCCTAGGATGTCCCTGTGCCCGATGCGTCGTCTGCAACAAATGCAGTCGTTTCGGAAACCACAGATGTCGTGCGTATTCAGGAGACGTCCCTGTTCCCCTCGGTGACCTCCCCAACTATTGTGCGGTTTGAAGTGGATGTTGGGCCTTTGCCTTCGGATGGCGTCCTCGTTTTTGGCCCGGCGGACGCGGCTTCTCTCGGGCTGGACTTGGGCCCTCGGCCTGTGATTGATTCCCAATTGGCGTCCACTGGCTTGGGTAAGGCTATGGTCTGGAGCTCCCCCGGCCGTCCGACGGTGCCGTGCTCTTCCTTGAGCCTCCCCGTCAGATTGGCAACGGTTGAAGCTTCTCCGGCCTCACCACACTCGCCTCAACGATCTCCCGCGTCCGTCTTCCCGGGGTTCTTCCCACTGGCGGCGCGGGGCCTGCCACTTCGCCAGCTTCTGATGGCCCGATTGGGGAGCCTCTGGGCTCAGAGGCGCCTGCTCCGCCGGCTGCGGGTGGGGATCCCCTGGGCTCGGAGGTGCCTGCTCCGTCCGGGCCTGTCCCGCCACTCGCTCAGACTCTCCAAGCACCGCAGGGTGTGGTCTTCGTCTCGCCCCCGCTCCGGGTCTATTCTAGGCAACGGCGCCATGCTAGAACTCCCGCCCCGGCCGCCGTGGACGGCTCCTCCTAGTGTCCGGGGGAGGGATCCCCATCACGGAAGCTTGAGATGGTGCGCAGGCCAGTGGATATGCTTGTCCCTCTGCCCGTGATCCAGAAGCAGCGAAAGAAGGCCCCTCCTTCAGGGTCTCTGCTGCGGCGTAGCCGGCGGGTCACTGGCGCTGCCCCCTGCCCTCTAGGCCCGGTGCTCTCGGAGGCTCAGAAGAGGGTGATGCGACAACTTGGCTTTGAAGAAAGGGAGATTATTCAGCCAAATGCTCAAGATAATTATAGTAAGCTATTCAGGCCATTCCTCTGACTCCCATGTTTGTGCTTTAGCTGCTATTTTTGGTTGAGAAGTTGGAGATGGTGAGCAGGTGCGGGCTGCGGATGTCCTTACAATGATGTAAGGATTTGGTTCTTTGTCGGGGTCATTTTATTTCTTGGGTCAGAGGAATCCTTTGTCTATTTTAATCTGGAACGTGCGAGGCCTGAATCAAAGGGATCGCTAGAATTCTGTCAGAGAGGTTATTCTATCCAGCAACGCTGACATTGTCTGTTTGCAAGAAACTAAGGTTACCAACATGTCCCAGCATTTGTTTCTCTCGGTCTTTGGGTCTGTGTATGATAACTTCATCGCTCTCCCAGCCAATGGGACTAGAGGAGGGGTTCTGATTGCTTGGAAAGGGTGTTCTTGCCAGGCAGTGGCTTCAAGGGTAGATACTTATTCTGCTTCTGTTCTGTTTTCGGAACAAGAAGGTCGCAAATGGTGGTTCACTGGTGTCTATGGGCCACAAGAAGATGATAAGGTGATGTTTCTGCAAGAGCTAAGAAATATCAGGGCCCTGTGCATGGAGCTTGGCTTCTAGGGGGAGATTTTAATTTAATTTATCAAGCTGCCGACAAGAACAATGCTAATTTGGACAGAGCAATGATGGGAAGATTTCGGCGTTTTTTAGATGACATGGATCTCAAGGAGATCCTGCTCTTGGGCCGAAAATATACTTGGTCCAACGAGAGGAGATCGCCTACTCTGGTCAGGCTGGATCGAGCTTTCTGTTGTGGTGATTGGGACAATATTTTTCCTGATGCTGTCCTGCAAAGCACAGCAGCTGGTGTATCGGATCACTGCCCTCTCATTCTGGGTTTGAAAGTGAGCACTAGCGGCAAGCGGCGATTCCATTTTGAGAGCTTCTGGACCAAAATCCCTTGTTTTCTCAATGTTGTTAAACTGAATTGGGAGGCTCCGGTACAATCTAATTGTGCTGCAGAGCGCCTATTCATTAAACTACAGTGCCTCAGTAAGGGACTACAAAAATGGGGCAGCGGAAAATAGGGAACATTAAAGCTCAGCTTGAGCTGGTCAGGAGATTCTTCATCGCTTGGAAATAGAGAGGGATTCAAGGGCACTCTCTGAGTGCGAGGAATGGCTGAGAAAGAAACTCAAATTGCATTGTCTCGGTTTAGCTTCTCTAGAGCGAACCATTGCACGGCTGGGCTCTAGGATACTGTATCTTCAAGAAGGAGATGCCAATACTGTTTTCTTCCATCAACAAGCTAGATGCAGAAAGAACTTCATCCCAAAACTGCAAGTTGGTAATCAGGTGGTCGTTTCGCAGGAGGAAAAACAGAAGGCAGTGGATGATTTTTATGAGAACATTCTTGGCAGTGCTGAAGTAAGGGACTATACTCTTAACTTAGATGAGTTAGATATGCAGCATCATGATCTTTCCGATCTTGATGCCCCATTCTCTGAGGAGGAAGTCTGGGCTACCATAAAAGACATGCACTTGGACAAGGCCCCTGGGCCGGATGGTTTCACAGGGAGGTTCTACAAATCATGTTGGAGCATTATTGAGGGGGATGTGCTGATGGCGTTGGACGCCATCCATCGCGGCCATGTATTCAAATTTAGGCTATTGAATACGGCCTATGTTACCCTACTGCCTAAGAAAGTGGATGTAGTTGAAGTGAAGGATTTTTGTCCTATAAGCCTGATTCATAGCGTTGCCAAATTGGTGACTAAGATATTGGCTAATCGGCTAGCACCGCTGTTACCTTAATCTCTGCAAACCAAAGCGCTTTTGTGCAGGGAAGGAAGATTCATGACAACTTTATGCTGGTCCAACAGATGGTGAAATCTCTGCATAAGAAGGAGGCGCATATCCTTCTTAAACTAGACATCTCCAAGGCGTTTGATTCTGTCTCTTGGTCGTTTGATCCTGGAAGTCATGTGCAAGGTAGGGTTCGGTCAGCGGTGGCGAGACCTTATTTGCTTGATCCTGTCCACCTCCTCGACACAAGTACTGGTTAATGGAGTTCCTGGAGACACTATTTTGCATCACCGTGGTCTTAGACAGGGAGACCCCCTGTCACCAATGTTGTTTATCCTTGTTATGGATGTTCTCAATTCCCTGGTCAATTTTGCTACTCTGGCGGGTTTGGTGCAGCCGCTAGCCATTCAACAAGCACGGCACAGGGTCTCCTGCTATGCTGATGATGCAGTCATATTCTTGAGACCCCACAACTTGGATCTGGTCACTGTCAGACAGCTCCTGGAATTGTTTGGACATGCCTCCGGTCTTAGAACCAACCTGTCCAAGAGTTCGGTTTCCCCTATTCATTGTACTGATGAGGAATTGGCACTCACTGCAAGCGTCCTCTCTTGTTCAATAAAGGCCTTCCCCTGTACGTACCTTGGCCTCCCACTCTCACTTGGAAAACCAACTAAGGAGGTGTTGCTGCCTTTAGTAGATAAGGTGTCAGAATATCTCCCTGGTTGGAAGGCCTCTCTAATGAACAGGGCTGGGCGGTTAGTCATGGTGAAGGTTGTGCTGCCTGCTGTCCCTATATATATCTTAATAGCCCTGGACCTTCCTAAATGGGTGCTTAAGGCTATTGACAAAAAGCGGCGGGGCTTCCTTTGGAAGGGTCACCAACATGCCAATGGAGGCAATTGCCTGGGAAAAGGTACAGAGACCAGTTGAATATGGAGGCCTTGGGATCCATAATCTTGAGCTCCTTGGTTGGGCACTTAGGATTCCGTGGTTGTGGGCGCAAAAGACAAATGCTGAAAGGCCTTGGGCCGGTCTTTCTATCGCTGTTCCTCACAAAGCCTGGGCCCTCTTTAATGTTGCAGTTGATGCAATAGTTGGAAATGGATAGGAAATATTGTTCTGGACAGATAGATGGCTGGATGGGCATACCGTGGCTGAAATAGCGCCTAACCTGTTCAATGCGGTTCAAAAACGAACAGCTAAAAGGACTGTGGCCCAAGCTCTGCATAATAGAAGCTGGGTTCAAGATATTAGGGGAGCTCGTACAGTAGAGGTATTGCTTGATTACCTCCACATTTGGGATATGGTGGACGGAATTATTTTGCATCCAGAGATCCTGGACAGATATAATTGGAAGTTAACGCAGGATGGTTCCTATAGTAGCAAGTCTGCCTATACAGCCTTCTTTCTTGGATCCATCAAGTTTGGGTCATGGAGAAGGATCTGGAAAACCTGGGCTCCCCCGCGCTGTAAGTTTTTCATTTGGTTGGTGTTTCACAACCGGGTTTGGACAGCTGATCGACTAGCAAAGAGGAATCTGCCCCATCCTGAGTCTTGCCCCTTATGTGATCAAGAGGATGAAACAATAAATCATTTGCTAGTGGGCTGTGTCTTCGCTCGACAGGTCTGGTCCCTGGTTTTGCATCAGTTTGGGCTGCTACATTTGGCACCACAGTCTGCTGTAACTCGTTTCTCAGGGTGGTGGAAGAGGTCTATTGCTGCTGTCCCCAAAGAAGCGCGTAAAGGCCTCAATTCCTTGATAATCCTGGTGGCCTGGGAGATTTGGAAGCATCGCAACACTTGTGTCTTTGATAATAAGAGGCCAAGTGTTCAGGAGGTCCTTAGGTCCATTAGCGCAGAGGGGCTTTGGTGCTCGGCTGGGGCTTCCAAACTCCAGGAGCTTGTTATCAGGTCGCTGCCTGCTGAAGCTTAATGCTCGGAGGCTTTTGGTCGTTCTTGATCTTTGGGTGGCGAGTCTGTATCTTAGTGTCTATGGGTGTGGGGTGTGTGTTGGGTCTCTGACCCTTGTAACATTTCTTCTACCTTAATGAAATGACGCGCAGTTCTCCTGCGCTTTTTTTTAAAAAAAAGATTATGCTACACACTTAGATGTACATTATGTCTAGATATACAGTAAAGGCAATGTATCCAGAAAAGTCAGAACATCTTATAATTTGGAATGTGGGGAGTAGTTTATTGGGTGTATAAAAGCCTCATTTCATCAATTATTATCTTCTTTTAATATCTTTGAGAATGGTGGATCCTATCTTTACTTCCATTCTAAACTAAACCTTCTTATAGAAGGTTACTGCTAGAGTTGCCAGTAGGATGAGCGCTATGTCGTCAAAATATAGATATAGGAGTGATTTTGCTTGGTTCGGAAGTATAGATGGTTGGAATTAACAAAATGCAAGGAACAGGCAGATCAAATTATTACCAGAAAAGGAAGAATAATAGTATTAACATGGACAATCAGATATATGAATAGAATATTAGAATAATGCCTACTGGAATATACTGAAGTCCCTGTTAAATGAAGTTGAGTCCCTATTAAAAATGTCTAATCATAACAAATGAAACATTAATAGTCATGTAGGATTTTCATACCGAGATACCCTGCTAGTATTATGTCATTATATCGCCAAAGATTCTTGCGCCGTAACTGTTAGAACATTTGTATCTTCAAATAAGTTTATTATGAAAATATATTCAATGATCTATCTAATGATACTAATTATTTAGCAAAACTACTACTATTGTCTTATATATATTTGGTCAAGGTTAAATTTATTTTTACTTCTCGGGAAGTGAGAATGACACTTTATTGGGGCGGAGGGAGTACCTCCCTATGAGTCCAACTTAAACAAGGAACCAACTAAACGTGCTTGTTGGTGGTGGAGCCGTGTTCTGGCTGAGAAACGGTGAGGTTGAGGGCCCAAACCTGCTCAACGTGCGTGGCGTGTGGTCTCTGGCCGCGCCCCTCTGGTCTGGGTGCGCGTGCTCAGCCCCTGTGATCTGGGCGTGTCCTCTTCGTCTTCCTTTCTTAAGCCTTGCTAGACATGGCATTTTTCAGTCTGATTTTTTTTTCTGTCATCTTTTGTTGCTGCATATTTTCTAATAGATGCGTGTACAGGGTGGGTGCTGCACTAGAAACACAACTTACAAAATTCTAAAACTACAGACTTCCAACTATGTTGATACTAATGTATTTAATGGCTTATCAATTTGATATATTTCCTGAATTGTTATCCTATGTAGGAGGCACAGCTGATTGGGAGATGAGCTGTACCTGCATATTAAGGATCAAATAGCAATGTAGAGGATTATGTAAATTGTTCTGCATGCATTTTGTGTAATCCACATGCTGCACTCTTGTTGATGTGATATCATAAAACATAGGATAAGTTACAGAATAGGCTAAAATGATCCTTGCAAATGAAAAATGGCTGTTTATTTCTAACTTGCCGTTGCTTTTATCATTTGAAAATGTCTTACTACTTTATTACTTTTGAGTTTTAATCATCTTTTACTGCTTTGCTCAGTTGATGGCCTAAATAGTTGATATTGTGTTTCTCCACCTTCACATAGTGCTAAGATTAATTTCTATTCACACATTTTATTGTTACTCATCTGCAATCCGATTGTAACTGGTTATTGTAGGTCCAGACATCAGATGAGGAAGCGTATCAGAGTATAATGTTCTACTGATTTGAGTCTCTGGGTTGTTGAACTCACTGAAGGTATTTGTACTTTTGGGTCTAAAGATTTGCATCCATCATCCATACATAACGAATTGGTATCTCATATTCATACCATAACATAAAAATAATAAGAACTTGAATTCTTTTCGATATTGGAACTCAGCAGAATTTATTGACCTTATTACCTCACTAAATGACAAATTTTCTTGTTACCTGTCTAGAACAGATTAACCGGTGCGTTTGTAGCTTCTTTTTCGGTTAAGGGTGTGGTGGGTGGCGTTTGTGTTTTGTATTATCCTTTTTTCTTCTTAATGCAATGATACACAGCTCTCCTGCATATTCAAGAAAAAACAAATTATTTTTCTGTATTTATCCGTTCTTTGTATTATTGTAAGTGGTAGGAGATACAATGGCAATGCTTTTTATTTGTGTTAGCCCCTAGATATCTGTTTGGGAGCAACCTATCAATTCGACATTCAACATTGTTTTTACTTATTAGCTCTTTTGCATATATTGCCATTATTTCTATCTTGTACTGACTTGCTAGTTTTGGGCTAGATTGCTGGGCAACCTTTTCTTTTTGTATAAATATAGAGCCCTGATTAGTTGTCTGCATTATCCTATATCCAACCTTATGTAGTGTAGATGTTCATGTTTGGTTGCCTGTAGAGGCTCTTCTAGAGGCTCTTGTGCAGGCTTATGTAGCATTAGCTAGTACGCCGGATTTGATCATATTAGTCAATGCAGATTTGCATAAGTCGATGGGAAATACAAAAATAAAATATTCCCACTTCCGTACCTCTATTAGATGAAAGGCTAGTAGCTCTGTTGGCAACCGAGCTCCCTGCATAGGTGAGCACAATGTTTTCAAGTCGTCTAGTCGAACCTAATCGCCATGGGACCGACCAGGCGACTAATCGCGATTACTCATCGACCAGGCCGATTAGTCTAGTAGAGTGGATTGCTTCTCTTTCCTTTGGAACCAGAGAAAACAGAGGGACAGCAGTACCGCACAACAAGCAACCTAGCAGTCTAGCAGAGAGCCAGAGAGGCTGCAGAGTGAGGGATGGGGGAGGAGGGAGCAATTAGCTCACTCACACCCACACTCACAACTCATAGCTAGAGGTAGAAGAGTTGAGAACAGAACACACACACACACAACACAAACACAAGTTTGCTAGTGTAGAAACCAAAGGCGCCCAAGTGGCTTCATGAGGATGTCTGCGAGTTGTTCGTCGGTCTTGATGAACTCTAGGACGAGTTGACCTCCATCGATGCAATCACGAAGGAAGCGATACTTGATGTCGATATGTTTGCTCTGGTTGTCGAGGACGGGGTTCTTGGCAAGGGCAATGGTGGAGAGTTAGCGGGCGAGCTTCTTCCTTGATGAGCTCGCCTAGTAGCTGGCGTAGTCACATCCCTTGGCATGCCGCCGTGGCCGCTACGATGTACTTAGCCTCGCAGCACCACCACCTTCTGCTTCTGCGATTGCCACACGATAGGGGACGAGCCGAGGAAGACGAGCATGCCGGAGGTGTTCTTCCACCCATCAATGT